ACAGATACACTTCTGATCAGTGCAGCAAAAGATATCGATCACCTTATTATGACGAGAGCAGATGTTCTCCTGGAGGTTCTTGGACGGCTCCACCAGCTTGTGTTTCTTAAATGCAGCTGAATCATAATGAGGCTGAAGGTGTTTCTCACAGAAAGAGGCCAGACAGACTAAACAGGACTTGATGGCTTTCAGTTTTCTTCCAGTGCAGGAATCACAGGCCACATCTTCAGGTCCAGCATAACAGTGGTCAGCAGGAGCAGCTTGGAGTCCAGTCTTCTTCAGCTGCTCCACTAAAGCTGCTAGCATGGTGTTTTTCTTCAAAACAGGCCTTGGTATGAATGTCTCCCTGCACTGAGGGCAGCTGTGGATTCGTTTCTGATCCTCTTCATCCCAGTGAGCTTTAATGCAGGTCATACAGTAGCTGTGTCCACAGGGAGTCGCCACCGGATCCGTCAGTAGATCCAGACAGATGGAACAGGAGAAAGTCTCTCGGTCGAACTGATTCTGCTCCATTTCTGCTCTCAGTCACAGTGACTGTCTGAGTTTCTCTTCCTGGAAACAAACTGGTTTAATTGAGTCCAAGTCTCATGTTTCAGTGCAGAGAGGCTGCAGCCAATCAGGTTTTACCCAAAGCAGATCTTGGTTACGCCCAGCCTCAAAGTTCAGATCATAAAAATCAGTAAACATGATTGTAAAGAAATATTATTAAAGAACATGATTAAATATTACCATTTATGCACATGCACTCCTGGATTTCCAGATTTTTTTAGATTGTGTCTCTCACTGTGGACATGAACCTGAGGTGAAAATTTCAAACCCTCCATGATTTCTAAGTGGGAGAACTTGCAAAGTTGAAGATGTTCAAATACTTATTTTCCTCTATTATAGGTATTTTTCGACAACCTACGTAAAAACACAACTTTTGTGAGTTTTTACCAAGCTTTGATGAAAACAGCAGATGCAGAGGACCGCAGCAGCGCGCTGCCCACCGCGCCTTCTGGAAACCTTCAGTTTGAGCTCGTCTTTTATTTTCAGAGAAGGCAGAGATAGAAACAAGGGACAAGTTATCAATAAGTTCATCACACAAGGTCATCTCGTCTTTTCGCTTGGGAGCGATTTCTCCAGGTTGGAGGGCTGTTATCAGTGTGAGAAAGTTTTAAACACAGCAGTCTGAGGTTTTAACACAGACAGTGAAGGGCCAACACTTCTAAATGAAGATCACTATTATCTATGATAATATAAGACTGCTAAGGTAAGATTAATAATCTAAAGTAATATAAATGTAAGGATTATAACACAAAAATCCTCACACTCTCCCTCCTCTTTATCATTTTACATGTGTAACTATTAAAAGTAAAGAAAAAGAACAAAGGAAAAAGGAAACAAACAATAAAATGCATAAAGGAAAAATATGAGATATAAAAGAAACATCAGGAAACCAAATTATATTTTTCTTTTTTTATCGTTAACACCATTTGTTTTCACATTCTCAGTGTAGGAATCATTCAGCAAATGATTTCATCTGTTTATTGATTACAGAACATCGTCATATAATCGTCCTTTCAGCGCGTCTTCATCCATATTGAGCAAGTCGTCCTCATGTGTGTCAGATGTTGGTCTGACCCGCTGATAGCTGACCACAGCATGTTAAACGTCTTAAGCATCAGGCTACGAAGGCATGGAATGATGCNCTGTGAAGAAAAAAATATCTATATTTTGTCGGGGCCCTTCTAGTGCAGCGCCCCTGTCTGTGAGGGCAGAGAAGCTGCAGCCAATCAGCTTCCAGCTTCAGCAGGTCCCGCCCAGACTCAGTGTGTGTGTGAGACCAGGAAGAGGAGCGCTCTGAAAGCAGTAATAGTTTAAGCTGAATCATCTTCACAGCAGTTTTCTGCTCAAAATAACCGACTGAGTCTCTAAACTCAGGTTGCTAACATGTTAGCTCTCCACAGCTTCAGGAAATGAAATGAAAGAATCGTTCCTGCTGAAGAAACTAGATGTGTTTGGTGGTTCAGGGAAAATATGCCTCCTGTTTCCTAACTGCTCTATAGTGGTGGAGAAAGTACTCAAAATATGAACTCAAGTAAAAGTAAAAAAGTCCTGGCTTTTAAAAATACGTAAGTATTAAAAGTAAAAGTACTTGCTGAATGCATTTACTAATATCATTAAGTGTACCAATCACATTTAATTTTAATACATCAGAAAGTGCCATTTCTTTGAACAATGAGAGAGATAAAGCTTGTTGTGTCACATCATTATATAGTCACAGCAAGGAAAGGAGCCACCCAAAGTCTGATCTGATCTCTACTGCCAGATGGAGCACAGAGACAATCCTGACCTCATGAACCGTCCCTCACCTCTTGGAGGGGATGATTTTATGGCAGGACAGAGAAACCATAAGGATTTCAGGAGAAACTTCTAATTCTTCTTTGTCAGTTAGTCCTGGGTTCAGGTCAAACCACAGTAAAAAACAAAGTGTCAATTTAACACCTATAGAGTTGAATTTAACTCCGTTTCAGAAAACATTTGGTCCCACTAGAAAACTGTGTAAAATGTTCTCTATAGCCAGTGTCAAATTTTCAGAGTTAATTTTACTCATTTTAGTGTCAAAATCAACAAGTCAGTGAGTCAAATTATTTAACACTATTGTTGTTTTACACTCTTCAGAGTAATACTGTTATTTTTATGGAGTTAATTTTACACTAAATTTACTTAAAAATGTACACTTTATTGTGTTGTTTCTTACTTTCTCCAGTTTTTTTACACATATACCATATAATGCTAAATTTTAGCATTATAT